AAATATAGTGTAGAGCTCAGCTTGATGAGCTCAGGAGAATGTAGGATGTGTTTGGCCAAACATATTGTTAACACAGTCATCAGAAAAAGACAATATCTTAATCCTTTATGGATGCAAAGAACAAACCAGCTTCTGCTGCCAGCGCAGAGCAGTCCTTCAAATTAGTACTAATGCTCCAGGGACTATCTAAATTGTTATTTCTTGTGCAACAATTAATGAAGGAGTAAAAAAAAAAAAAACCACAACAAAACTAGTTGCTCCACAATGTACTTAAACATCTCCCATATACTTTTACCACCACAAGATTTTAGTGGAAGCAATAAATTGGAATTTAAGTGGAAGCCTAGAGCAAAGCACAGCCTCAGGAAGTGTGGTCTGTGCCTGAAGAACTAGAGTTTTCCAATTTCAATTGTGGCTTTAATACAGTAATGATGCAAATATGACATATGGGTGTTGCCATTAATTGTCATCCTTGTCACTATCATAGCACAACGATTGCGAAATCCCAAATAATTTTTATTGCTAGTGGAAAGATACTGAGAACAATGAGAAACTGTTGTTACCTGGGATGGGTGTCAGATTCACACTACATCAGACTGTGACTTAATCTATTCATTACTCTGTACAAAATGCAGGGGCAGAGCAATATATACTGGAAATACATCTAGAGAGAGAAGATTTAATTGAGGAGCTGCAGCTAGACCCCACAAGTGACCCAGTCATTTTCACAGGGGTCTTTCCTCTGATGCCAGCAAACTTTTGGACTCTGCGTTTTGCTTTTCTCTGCTCTTTCTGTGTGTCCATCCCTGTTGAAATATTATTTCTTATTGGTAAAGAGGTGTTTTGGACTGGGACTATTTTCTTGTTCTCTGCATAGTGCTGTGAAGAGTAAGTGCCTAGGCTGGCATTACAAGTGGTGTAGCTGCCAAAAATGATGGTGTGGGTTGAGGGCAGCTAGAGAAAAATATTCTGGAATAATTTAGATATCAATTCGTGTATAAAAATACATTTCGAATTCCCATTCTGTTTGCTAGCTGCAAAAACCTTTACAGAATTAAAAAGTAGTAAGTTAAAGGTGGGAAAGACAGGATGTAACTCAGTGCGCCTAATGAAGAAGTATGTTAAATCTGTTCCAAAGCACATCTTTTTCCTAAAATATAGATATTCTGGTGTAAGCTGCAGATAACAAATTTTACAGTTTATAGACTATATCAATTATGTGTCTTACCTCTGGCTGCATCAAGAAGAAGAAGAGTAGTGATCCAAACTACAAACATCTAAAGCAAATAAGAACACAATTCAAATCTAATTAAAAATAGAATCTGGAATTCACCTAAAGGTTTCTTGACCCATTAAAAAAAAATAGTCGTAGTGGCCATAGAAGTACTTCAGGCATTTAAGAAGTTGGATCCAAAAGAATCAACATTTCCTTAAAGATAGCAAGGTTTCAAGAAAATACCTTTGGGATTCTTTCTGTTTGCCATGGAGATTTTGCATATGCAGGATATCCTCTAAGCATCTCTTAAAGGTTGTCTTCCTGACCTTGACAAACAGAAGTTTTTTTCTTCTCTAGAGCTGCAATTTATGGGCAAGCAAATGAAAATCTTAAAGGATTTGCAACAACCTATTTTTACAGAGTGAAGTTTCTTCTAGCATTTAATAGAAAAGCTACTCACAGAACTGCTGTTCAGTGATTTTGTTTACGAGAATCCAGGAAAAAACATAATTTATGTTCCTAAATCATATAAATAGTCTTGAAAACTCATTTTGATCATTGCTATCAGCCATGTATGCTTATCAGCCCTGATCTGTTTGATCACTTAATCACCAGCTGATAGGTGAGCGGACCAAATGGAACCAGTCATTTACTTCTATGTGAATTTTTTTTGCCTTTTAAGTGTAGTCTCACTACCACTACTAGTAACTTAACTTCAAAGGAAAAGAAGACCATTCTTAGAAAACTGTAATATCAGGCCCCAATCCTCCATTAAGGCCTGCACAGGCAAAAGCCCTGTGTGCCCTTCCTGACCTCCCCACCCCCAATCTCCCCAGTCCCCTAAAGTCTATAACACACTGTTAGGACCAAAGAGTTCATCCCTGTGAAACCCACTGCAGGTTCAAGCATGACCTGCTTCCATCTCCACTCCTCCAGCCGTTCGCTGAATACTTCACGCCTTATCATGATGCACCTTATTTCTGTTCCTTAGATGTTCTTGGCTCCAATGTATCCCATTTTACCTTGGCAAAGCTCAGAGCAAGTCTTTTGGGTCCACCGCTGCGTTGATTGCGGCAAGCCTTGCAGAAGCCCTTTGAGGAGCCTGGAACGAAGCAGGACAGCACTGTTCCTGCCCTCCGAGGGCACGCAATGAAGGGACGCTCACCCCACCACTGTTCCACGATGCTTGCGTTCCCAGCTGCATCTGTGACTTTGTTGGCCAGTGCCAAAAGCAGGACACTTCATCCGAGATAACACCAACCAGGTCAGACCAGTTGCTGTGTGACTCCACCTGTTTAATACAAAGTTTCAAATAGGGTGTTATTGTCACCCATCAGTAATTATTTTTAAAGCAAGAAAGTGTTGAGAAGTGTGATGTAAATGCTGAACAAACACACGGCCTTTCAGGATCAGGAACAAGGCTCTTGCCATCAGCTGGGCTGCTCATCTCTGTGGATGCCTAGTTGGGATTCAAGGGAGACAGCATCATCCCGGAAGGCTGTAGCAGAGCCCTGATCTTTTAGTTCCTACTCCAGCGTTTTAATAACAAAACCATGCTTTCTGGAGCTGATCCCTGCCTTAAATAATTCACAGTCTTAAGCAAAATTTTCAAATTTGTATTTGATAGTTAAGTCTACTGTTACAACATCAAGGCACAAACAAAGTGTTTGGGATGAGCTAGGATGTATGTTCACAAGGTTTAAGCTGCTACTTGAGAAAAGGTAGAAGAGAGAAGGATGAAAAATGATAAAAAAAATAAATTGCACAGTCTGTCATCTGTTGTTTGTTCACCTTGTAGTTCTCTCATCTATAATCCTGCTAGTAGATGAATTACTTGACTTTTCTTTGAAAAGATGACAGAATTGCTTTTAAACAAGGGAGAACAGTTCCTTGGGCAGATTGTCACCACATCCAATCATCATGAATCTTCGTAATTAAATTGTATTAATTGCAGTAATTTTAGTTTTTAGTGTTTTGATAATGATGTCTTTTCGCATAGTACTACTTTGTTGTCGTACTATTATGTTAGTATTTCTGATTAAGCTTTCCTAGAAATCTTTGCTCCTGTGTGTAAGTCCTTTACTTATGGTTCTGTGTTTCTATGTAGACACAAATGAGAAACTCACATCTCAACATTTTAGTGTTAAACCCTTTAAGTAGATTGGGTGATTATTGGCACCTCCTAAGCCAAGGGTGTTCAGAAAGGGGAGATTCCCTTTTGGTATAAGTCATCAGTCAGTAGAAAGGATTATCTCACATCTAGTACATACACATATGAACTGACTTAAAGTGATTCTTAAGAGTGACAGGTACAAAAACATTGCAGGCTTTTGTTTGTTTGTTTTGTTTTGCTTAGCTAGGCTTGAAAGACTAATTTCTTCAGATGCAGATTGCAGAAGCAAATAGATCCTTCATCTCTGTGCTCCACAACCCTGGAGAAAATGAGGAAGGAAGGCTAGTATGTAGCTCAGGGAGTTTATTGTTTTCATTTCTTCAGGACTAAATTAGTCCAGTAAAGTGCTGAGTTATTCACATTAAAATCCATTTGAGTTCTCTTCCACTCACATAATTAAAGCTTGTTGTTAGGGTGCAAATTGGTCAGTTAACCAATCACCAATAGAATTCAGCAAACAAAAATCCTGACCAGGTGTTTGGAAGAAACAGTTAAAAGATGCAAACACACACACAAAAGTGCCTGCTTCCAAGTTACCCTGTCCAAAACTGGATTCAGTGATAGTGGGTGCTCAGATCTGTGATATAGTGTCACATTCAAAATGGGTGGATGCTTAGTTTTTTATAGCTCTGAGAATTTATAGACAAAATCAGAAAGGCTAATTCAATAAAAATTAAGGGCACCACAGAAAATCAATATCTAATCCACATCACCTGACTGATTTAATTCTATTGACTATATATAATATAGGATCAAAACCTCACTTTGTTCTATTTTCACAATTTCTTTCCACTTCAGAAGGAGAGTTTACTGTGGAAACAGCTCACTCAAACTTTTGAACTAATGTAGCTGATTCAATAAATTATTCACATTAATTTGAATACATAGATTTTACCTATTTAGATTATTTTGGTGCATATGCTCTCTGGTGACCTCAAGAAATCAGTATTACTCAATACATTAAGAAGCCTTTCTAGAACCTGCTATTATATTCCCAAACTGTACCTCAACCCTCTGCTGCAACATGGACTTCGATAGCAATCTGGTGGCGAAGATTTCACATCACTTACACAATTCAGCGATGTTGCCAAGTTAAAATTAGAATGACAACATACTTAGGGTCTTTTGATTTTACCTATGATGAAAGCATCATAGTCTCAGGTCCTAGATGCACACGTGTACTATACAAGTCTTATAAAGCATCATTCTGGCTAGTATTGAGCATTAATTGGAGCTTAACTTCTTTAGGCTTTTCTCAGAACACATGAAGCGATTATTTAGCGATATGCATACTGCCTTTCAACAGCCAGTGAGACACCTCAGCTCTCCTCCAGTGTTTAAGATGAGGTTACCGGAAGGGCAAGGCATCTTCATATTTGTGATGAGTTAGTCAGAGGATTTATTCCAGCAGACAAGCATGAAATGGGTTTTCTATTCTAGTTTAGTAAAACCAGAAAAGCGCGTAGCTCAGCAACATTGTTAGATGTCAGCAATTCTGTGTCAGCTTCTGGAAAACTACTCACTTTAGTTAACTTCTTCTGTATTCTTTGGGACCTGTGTAGGAAGGAGCAAGCCACGAAGTGCTGACTATCTGTTCCTTAGAAGTTCTTGGGAATTTCGCTTCCATGAACTTGTCCAAGCTGTCCCTGAAATCATGCACAATTCTAGCACACCCAGCATCCTCTGTCAAAACTGCCAGCTTCGTTTCATGCCCACTGTTACCACTGTGGAAGAAAATGAACAAGTCATTTTGTATTTGCCTTCTCCATGATCCTCTTCATTTCATAGACCACATTCACATCCCCCCATTCTTTTCCAGGCTGACCTTTTTTTCCCCTTATATGCCAACGGATGTGGGAAAAGGACTGCTTCTTCCATTTGGCTGGAGTAGATGAACGTTAGCCTTTTGCCCTCCATTACCAAACCGAGTAAGAAAGATTCCTTCTGCCCTAAAGTTTTGTCAATGAATGTGTGTTTTCTTGAGGGATGGAGTGTCCAAAGGTGGAAGGAGGCTCTTTCTGCAGCTCAAAGACAGCTTTGTGCAGTGTCTCCTAAGAGCTCCGTGCTATTGCATCATTTGTAATAGAGGAACTTACGTGATGATGTACAGTGCATATAACATGATAAAACCCAGGACTAATAGGGATAATTCATTTAAGTTATTGCGCAGGGCTGTCATGCTTTTTTTTTTTTTCTTTTTGTCCTTTAGTTGTATTTACATCCACTTGTCACGTCTTAATCTGGAGAGCAAAATTTCTGGGCAGAGACCTGCCTACCTACCTACCTCTGCCCATTGTGGGGTATGTAATTCAGTTTTGGGTCGTGTATGAACAATTTTTGATATAAATGGCAACAGTAATGTAAAGGTCACCTTTTCCAGCCCATCAGTTGTAAGGCCTTCCCTAAGGAAGTGACACTTTTGAATAAAAATCAGCAAGTATTTTTCTATTCTTTCCAGTCTGCTTGGCTGCTGAAACAGATATGAAAGGATTATTATTCTTTTTATCTGCTGTTCCTTTATTATGAACCAGCTTCTAATACTTTTATTGATGCCAATCCCAATGGGATCACTCATGGAATAAAATACTTCTTAGCTAAAGAGAGAGCACCAAATGTTCCAATTGCTTTGTATTTTAATACCATTTAAAATAACAGTTGTTGCATAACTTATTCGTACCTCCCATAGAAGCCAATATTTTCTCTTGTACTTCTTGAGGTGAGCCTGGAGATACTGTGAGATTTGATCTGTAATGCTCGTGACTACCTTTTGTCCCAGAAGTTAAAATAGAGTGAAGAAGTTGGCTGCTATATATTCTCCTCGCAGCAATATGTATTTTCAAGGAAGTGAGTGTGTAATTAACCATCCTTTATTCACTGTGGTTAACTATAATACCTACTGGCACTCCTGAGCAGATGAGCGAGGAATGATTAAACTTCACAAGGAACACTGCAGGAAACATTCTCCTGAACTTCATCTAGCCTTCTAACACCTAAATCAAGAAGTGCTTTCTAGCCTGGTCTGTCCTGGACATATCTCGCATACCTGCATAGGTCTGAAACATCCCACTGCCATGCTACAAAGCTGTTTGATTCAGTGTCAGTTTAGAGGTCCTAGAAAACTGGAGATCCATACCCTGTTGATTTAAGAGAGCAGAGATAAGCATCCTCTTTCAGCCCTAGTACTGTTTAACTTTCATTTGGCAAAATTCCATAACAGCAATTTTAGATTTGGAAAAAAGGGGGGGGAAAAATCGTATTTGCATAGTGCTTCAGTCTGATAGAATATCCCTCTCCCTGGGACAGTTTAGAGAAGAAAAGAATTCAAGTAGTGTTAGTGAGTTCAGGCTTTTGAGATTGAAGAGGTGTACTTTATTGTTTTCACATAATAATGGTGCAACTGCTAATAGCCATCTGGTTGGTAATAGATTATGTTTGTCTCAACAGCAGCTACTTACAGGTTGTAAGATTCTAGGCTACATATTTGAAATACATACAGTAGGTCAGACTCACTGTTTGAATTCAACAGTTAGACTGATTTACACCAGGTAAGCTCTGAAATTTATGTCTTAATAGAAAAAATAAATTTATTCCCATGGTTATGTCTTAGTTTGAGTCAAACAGAATTCCAAGTGAGTCGGCTTTTCATAGTTTCTGTGATAAAACACTCTTGTACTCTACACATATTCTGAGGACAGCAGTGAATTTAAAAGTATAGCACAGGGAACTGAAGAATGTGATATAAGCAGAAATTTTTAAATCTTTTCCAGCAAGGTATTTTAAGGCCTACAGACACCATGTGTATTGATCTAAATTTCAGCATGTAAATTAGTTAACTGAATTGCAAAATAATGAAAGAAATAAATAAACCTTTAGACTTTTCCCAACCAATTGCCATTTTTTCTTTCTCTCATCAGCCATCTAGCATGAAATTACTGGGTTTGTACTTTTGAAAAATTAGAAATTATTTTTAGAAAAGACAATTAAATACCATATAAAATGGATTTCACAGACTAATGGGAAAGCATGGAATAAGGATTCTAATCATAGCTGTTTTCCACAGCCCCATAGAAGGCTATGGTAAATGATTTGTAATTGATCATGATGAATTTTATTATATGGTTTAAAGATTACACAAAGTGGTGGGATAGAAGCTCTATCTGAAAGCCTTTGATTTTGTATTTCTGAATTAAAGTTGGTGGTTATTAGTAAAATAGGAAGACATCCTTGATGAGATAATTTGGACAAATCTCTATCTGGTAGCATAATTACTGAAACACCATGCCTTTAGGAAGCACTATAAGTTTTTTTAGTTGCTGCTTCTGTCTGAAATCAAAGACGACATTTTCTATTAAACAACTAATATCAGCTTGCAGAATGGCTGAATTATTTTCTGTATGTTGATAAAATCATTTTATGTATTTATTTCTGAAAGATAAGTCTAAAGATAGAGACATAGGCATCCTGCATATTCTGGTCCCTCACCAGATTTACCCTGTATTTCAATCTTAAGCAGGTTTTAATAACCTTGTATCTCATTTTTCTCAAACCATTAAATGACTATAACTGTCAGAGCAGAACGCTCCATATTTAAAAATGGATGATAAAGTCAATAGAACGATACTAATTTATACAAGCTGTTAGCTGCTCTTAAATAGAAACACCTAATAAAATAATTAAGTGGTTTCATATCAGGCCTTTGATGAGATATGTGGCCTGGTTTACGTGGGTTTTGTTGTTATTTTGCAAGCACTGGTTCTGTTCCATCACATTTCCTTTAACTTCAGTCGACTGCAGGAGGTCTATATCAAGGTGCTGTTATGTTTGTGTCACCATCTTTAGGTTCTTAGCTACTTGTAGAGTGGCAACTCATGTAATGTTTTAATAAAACTGCATATTGTTTTTGTGGTATCCTCTACACTTGCAGCCTAACTGCAGGTTTGTGTTCATCCTCAATTTGTATCTTGTCTGGAAAGGAGGTTGGAGTTTGGAGCTGTGCACCTAAGGCACGTGATGATCTATAGATTTCTTCCTCGGAAGGACCCCTGGAAGGGGCTGGCAGAAGGAGAAGCAGCACGTGGAGAGTTCCCGAGGTCTGCTTGGTGCCTCTCACCAGCTTTGCCACTCCCTGTACGAAGGGATGACTTACACAGGGAATAAACTTTTATCATATTTGCTTGTGATATAAGACTGACTGTAAACCGGAAGGCTTCTTTATTTAGCTTTTGAATACTGCTGTTTTTTCAGTAAGTTTTTTTTTTTTTAGTATACTTGGAGAATGCTATAAGAATTTCGATAATTTGTGGACCACTATTGGAATAAAATCAGCTTTTAATGAAGCACTACCTCTGCCCTCTGCTGTTTTTGGAAGGTCTCTCAACACTCATTTGAGGGGGCCAGCCAATTTAGGGTAGACTATGGAGAAAAGCGATGGATTTATAGCATCTTTCTGTACATGAAGTAAAGAAAAAGCCGCAGGATGGCATCCATTTGTTTTGCAGGCCAGATAAATCAGTATCACATTCAATATGACAGAAAAATTGAGCATCAACATTTCAATTTTAAGCCTTTTGCCTTTAAACTTATGAAAACACAGGGGTTTTTTTTGAAAATTGTAAAGAAAACAGTCATGAGGAAGAGAAAAAACCTCTTTAAAGGCCTACCACAAATAAGAGTTATGAGGCAAAGCACAAAGTCATTTCAAGCCCAAGGAATGTGGGAGTGGGATTTTGCAATTGGCACAACAAGCAACATATTAAGGCATTACCACACTGATTAGACTTAATAAGTTTAACTGGAGTATTTCATAATGTGAGTCCAACCCAGCCTCTTTTTAAGTCAGCTGTCATTGTTTTTGTCATTGTTTTCAAGACAATTTAGAAGCCAGCATTACAATATTGATTTCAGGCTGTATATAGTTGTGGTTTTTATTTGAGGACCATACAAAAGTCTGAAAAATATGTCAGACTTCAGTAATATTTCTGTGATCTATTTCTGGATGGGCACTAAATGCTAAGTGTGAAGAACTGGAGAGTGAAAAGCTTTAGGACTGGTACTGGTGCAGGCTTCATGCTTCTGAAAGTCAGTTGGGCGGTTTGTGAACAAACCACTTGTAAATGACTGCAGCATGCAGGCCTTGGGTTTCATGGAACTGTGCCTGTTTTAGGGTTACTTAACAGTTAAATCTTACAAGAAGGAATGGATGTTTAGGCATCCTTCTAAACTGCATTTTAACAACTATGTGACAGAAGGATAAAATCTTCCAGCAGCAAATAAGGACTTCTAGGCTATTAGTCCTCCTCATTCTCATGACTGGACGTGTTACAGATGCAGTGTGCAGTCAGTTTGTGTGTGCAGAGCAGGTACTTGCTTCCCAGATGCGTTGGGGCACGTTAGATGTGCTCTGTACTGTGCATGTGTACGTCCTTTCTCCTCTCCAGGAGAGGGGATGCTGAGACTCTGCTATGGACATGTTAACCATGGACTGATTTGAGCAGCGCTGGTATATGGAAAGGAGGCGGCATTGATTATTGTTGTCATTTGCAATGTTGGTGATACACAACATGTGTAATTGTTTTAAACAGCCATTATCTGCTTTCTGTTACTACCAGCCAGACTACAGTTCAAGTTGGTTGAGATTAATGTAAAACATCTGATCAAAGCTAGAATTATCAATGGTTACAAGAGGCAAGAGCCAAATAACGCCTGGGCTGCACGCAGGATCAGCCCTGGTGACTTAGGAGTTCACCACAGCCTTTGCCAGAGTCACCAGGACCACTGCCACCACTGGGACAGTCTATTTTATCTTGCTCAGCTGCAGTGTTTCACTGTTGGGCCTCAGCCCGCTCTATTATTCAGAGGCACATAGACATGCTGGACTGCCTCTGTGTCCAGGCAAAAGGGAGCCTCGAGCGCTCATTCGGGATGAGAACGTGCTGTCAGCCAGACAAGCCAGGTTTGGGAGCCAGTGGTTTTCAAAGTCCTCAGGGCTACTGGTGATATGAACAGGAGTCAGAGCCTGCATCAGACATGATAAAAAGTAAGTAGTCTCCAGACGGACTGGTCCATCGCCTCCGGCTGCTGGAGGCCTGAGCCCAGCGATCTCACTGCCATCAGAGTCTGGCCTGAGAAGACGGAGTGTTTGGCCAAGAAATCAAAGGCCATCCTCATCGCTGGCAGTTTCATGGGTTCTGAGAAGCCCAGCTCTCTGAAAGACTTCCATCTAGCCTCGGAAACAACTTCAAAGGGATTGTTTTTCACGGCCTTCATCTAGCTGCTGTCACTTCTTAAAGTAATAAGTCTCTCTTTGCTATAAAATCAAAATTTACCATGTGGGGTAAGTTTTTTTTTTAATTTGCAATTTAAAACACAAAATGAAGGCAATAAGGCAGTCGAAGGCCTTTTTAGCCTTTTCAGTATAACACTGTTATAATAACTGGAAGTGCATTCACTGTCATGAAATCTTAAATATAGTAGAAATGGCACTTCAGGAGTTCTCAGGTTTTGCCTTTATAAATTTTCTCTGCTGCACCCTTTATCCCAGTAAGGTTTCGTCATTTAAGCTTCTCTTATATCCTGCAGTAATACTTTACAAACTCCTGAAATTTAATAATCTAAACTATTATTTCTTGTGGACTATGTACATGTGTGTCTATTAACATGTTTACTGAACTCTGTGTATGTGAGTCTGTATGATATATGAATGAGACACTTACTGGAAGTAATTTTTAATGCCATTGAAATAAAGCAATTCAAGTGATAAAAAGAGAGAATTGTCTTCAGACAACTGCAGAATCTGTAGACAGAGAGCGAGTTAGGTATGTGTTTTCAAGATTTACACAACCCTTCTCTCCATTATGTAAATGCTGATTACAGGGATCTCTGGGACCCAACCAGAAGCAATTACAGCCCTCCCAGTCTGCGAAGAGCACATGCAAGGCTGCCGTTCACAATGGCCCAAAAAGTCATGGCATGTTTGGTATTCCCTTATAAGATAAACTGTTTTCTTTCATTAATGAAACATTCCCCACGCCCTGCACATAAAGAAAAACTATGAACAACTTCAGAATAATGAATTGCAGAGTAATGGTCTAGGTTACTGAAACAGCAGAGGAAACAAGCCCCAAGTTCTCCTTGTCTGTACCATAAACATTCATATGCCTCAAATGGATGCAATATATAGATTTAGAGAATTGATAAAGGATTGTATGTCTCAAAAAATGGTTATTTTGTGAACAGAATCAGGGTGTAATTTTATTAGAGGGCTCCCTGAATAGCTGAGGTGGCCTTCCAAAATTAATTGGGTTGATGTGTGAATACCAGCTCCTCTACCCATAGTTTCAGTTGATTTGTGAAGACACTGATCCCTAATTATACGTGATGATTCATCTAGATTATCGGCTTCATGAAGGAACGCTTTCTGGTTCTCAGGCTGGGGTCTGTGCTCTGGCAATGTTCTCATTTTATATGGGGGTGAGACCCAACATGCACAATCCCTCTTAACATTGCAGTCACCTGGGGACAGCGCTGTGTGGTGCACCCCAGACTGCCCCAGTCTTTAAACCTAAAGAAAGAAAAACAACTCTCATTGCATCTCTGAGCAGCACCACTAGTTCATTATTCCCTTAAAATACTATAGCCTCTAAACAGTGCACTAATTATTAGCTTGCCTCATTAGTTAATCCCATTAGACTGATACATGCAGGCGTTTTATCAGTAAAATTGAAAGTAAATTACTAGGAACATCACTTTTCTGGCTGCGTTTTAGATTGCATAGTAGATCAACAGATGACTTACGCTCTTGCTTTAGTGTAATGCAAACTTGGCCTCACGATTTCTCGTGCTGGTTGAATGCAATGCTTTTGCCAAATGATGTTTTGGGGAAGTATAAATTATGCGTATGAGAGAGTAGCACTGGGAATACACTCTACTTCTATTACCGGTTTGCAT